CGTAAGAATAGAGGTGAAGGCAATCACTTCAGCTTTCCACTGGCTAGCGAACACACAAACACACAAATACATACACATATAGTGATTGTAAGTGACTCAGATAGCATGCTGAGGAAGGCGAGTACAGGCACGATTCGTGCAGAGTGGCATACCACGCTTCGTGCAGGGTGGCATACCACGCTTCGTGCAGGGTGGCATACCACGCTTCGTGCAGGGTGGCATACCACGCTTCGTGCAGGGTGGCATACCACGCTTCGGAAGTCAGGGTGAAGAGCACTGTTGGGATCTTTTCTCCGGGCCATGCGAGAATTGAGAGAAATGAACAGGCGGACATACTGGCTGGCTCTGCACAACTTGGTGGATTACTGATGCATGATAAGGCAAACGTGGTCAATACCCTATTGACGCACGTGAACAATTGGGAGGCGAAAATAGATCATCTCAGTCTCCTGAGGGGAGGGCAGCGAGCAGTGACGAGGACATCTGGTCGATACTCGACGCTCAGAGGAAAGGCAAGACGGACATATAATCAGAATGCTACTGACACCATTGGTATTGGAACTCTGCGCTGGCTGCTGAAGATGAGGACGAAACGCTTATGGGAATGCCCCAACGCTGTAATGTCGGTTCCTGAAGCAGATCAACTCAGATATGGAAAAGAAGAACTAAGAAAACGAAACAAAAACAAAGGAAATGAGAACATTTCTTGTTCTGATTATGTTATGCATTGTTTAATTGCTTCTGGATATTAGCCTCACCGCAGTCACCACCCACAGTAGCGTGTTTTCCCGACAATAATGGGGTAAAAAAAGGGGGGTGGGGCTCCGAGGCGATGTCGTCAAGGCACTTGCCTTCGGCTCTGAAGGTCGTGGGTTCATTTCACGGCGGTGAGTTCACGGGTGCAGTTTTTACGGAGATGTCTGGCGATTATCGCTGCGGTTACGGAGTTCGTGCTGTGTGCGGCGCTCTCGACAGGCTGTTAGCCGTAATGCGGAAAGAGCCCGAGCTATATGGAATAAAACTTGGTGCATATAGTCAGTTCTCTTGACTTTAACCTTTACCCTTTTAACCCCACACACACAAAAAAAGCGAACGATTTTCTTTCAGGATGCTTTTAATATAAGCCATATTCCTCAAAAACAAGCGCTAATTATGATTGTCAGCCAATTGTTGCCAAGGGAAAGTGATTCGCAAGAGATCTGGATCGGAATTCGTCTGGAGTTATAACAATGTTTCAGAAAAAGATGACAACCATATTGACATTTTTTTTTTTAAATTAAAAAAAAAAAATAAATAAACGTAAATTGTTGTTATTATACATAGAATTAAAAAAAAAAATATCCCACGAAAAAAAAAAAATAGTGCATTTTAATTAATATAAGACCCGGTCTCGTTTTTCGGGATGGTAGTAAGCATCAATAACGTAATAATAACAACGTTATATCAAACCACAGAAGGTTGATTGCATGGCATTGATGAGATACTAACGAATATGATAATAACAAAAATAGTACTGAATGTAACGATAGCTTTATATAAGTTTGAATTATGACAATGAATGTAAGTATTTGTAACAATTTAAATTGACTATTACCTTAAGGCCGCAAAGTATATACAAACTAAAGGTATCAACTGCTGACATTGGAGATTCGAACCAGTAATGACAAAAAGCGAAATCATCAGGTGGTTGCAGTATATAGTCCTTTCATTAATCTTACATTATTCACCATATCCTATTTACAAAAGTGCATAAATTATGATTATAACATTACATTTTGTCTTATCATTCTCAGTTCGATGTCTGGTGCCATGATTTGATAACATATCGCTTTGTTTTGATTATGACAATTCGTTTGGCATCAACACAGCGACGTGGGAGTCTGCTGCACAAGGCCGCTTTGGGTGGCGTACATCCCTCAGCCTCAGGCGTGATGCACCAGCCTGCCAGGCAGCGGAGGTTGCACAGGCAGAGAAACGGAGGCAGACTGGAAAGAATCGTATTGCTAATCCCACACTTACTGTGGCTTCCACCTGTTGTCTGCACTGCTCAAGAACTTTCCAGGCTCATACTGGACTAATCAGCCACCTTAGTACTCATAATCATTGATCATTACTACTTTGGATGAAAAGTGGCCTTCATCACTCGTGATGGACGAACAACGATTATGACATTTGTATGATTGAAGCAATGTTCACTGGCAATAATTAATAAACTATTGAGCTTAAAATTGCCGTGTAAAAGTACACAACAATAAATATGTGAGTTTGTTTAAATCTTCCTGAAGAAATCATAAAATTAGATTTGTAACTTATGCAACGTCAGGTTGTAGGCTAATGCTTAAACTACAAGGATAGTGTGAACTACAAATCTGAACATGAACCAGGGTAAGGAACACAATATACAATGAAACAAATCAAAAATATAGTAAACACTTATCAAAGGAACATCTTCTTCTTCTTCTTCTTCGCTTTCACCGGCTGTAAACTCTAAGTTCTGCTTGTGTGTCCACTTCTGGACTTTTTGTTAGTTTTGTTCCAGAACCTGAGTTTGCGTGAAAATCCGTTTAAATTATATGAATTAATTTTATACAGACTGTTGTTTCCTTGCCTATCAGGCAGATGCACTCAGACTTTTAAGAAAGCCCCCAGTGGGTCAACTCTTACAACATGCTCTTTGGGGAAGCAGTGGGTATATTCTTGTTTTCCCCTCTATTGTACCCAAGAACCCACACGGGGTAAAGGGGCATCTAATAACAGATGATCAATAAAATGCGAAAAGTATTGACAAATAAAAAGCAACTAAAATAACAAACTGAGTCTCTGATGATGTGGATATACAGTGGTATCTCGGAGTTCGAAAATAATCCGTTCCAAAACGGCGTTCCAATTTCCAAATCATTCGAGCTCCAAGGCAATCTTCCCCACCGACAATAATAGAAACTAATTAACATATTGCAGGATCCAAAAAACACAAATTTTAAAATGTATTGTCCTACCTACAGTACACAGTAAACGAGGTAACACATGGTGATCGTATTTGAATACAAACGTAAATAAATATTAAAAAAAAAAATTATACATTGTACAGTATTTACTGTGCCTTGATAACAATTGTGCCATAGTACACAGAAGTATGAGGAGCAAAGGTGATTTAAGAATATTGGGTTTTTTGTAATATCCTACCCCAAATGACGTCACAGGACAGTCCAACATTTTATAAGGGGGTATGACTGGGTTTCCCTTCTTTCTGATGCTTTTAACGACCCTAAAACATCTAGAACTGGCCCTAATCTCAACCCACCTACGTCCCACGAAAGAGTAGAGCCTAGGTCCCAAGACTGCATGCAGCCTATCTACCACCCCCTCAAATATTTGACTTTCCTGTGACCTATGGATTTCCCCTGTTTGGGGTAGGATATTAAGAGAGCACCGAATATTGTTTGGAAGACGAGTCACCTTTCATGATAACATCAGGAATCCTTTCTGGTGTTTCCGGTGATAGTCGTTCACCACTTATAGAGGTTGTAGGGTTATTACTTTTTGGTAACAGCCAGCGTTCCAAAGTGCTCTAGTGTTTACGACTATTTTTAATGTTTCTAAAATGTTCGATGATTTTATCATTGAATAAGTTAACATACCTGTTAACTACGGCTTTATCAGGGTGCATCTCAACACATTTTTGTTCTATTTTGACAATATGGTCAAAAGATCTTTGATTTCAGCAGTGCTAATCCTTCCTGCTTCTCGTTCATCCTCTCCGGATGAAATGTCTTCTGCAGTTTTCTTCTTTTACTGCTAGTGAAAGTGCTGTAGCTCTTGCCTTGTTAACTCAGTCACGTGATCAGCACATGTCAGGCGTTCAGTTTCCAAGGCAGCGCTCGAGTACCGATGCAAAATTTACTTGAACACTTCTTTGGGACTTCTAAGGATACTTCAGTCGGCTCTGTGGCTAAGTCGATGCGAATGCTTCGCTTCGTCATGCCGGGATGCCAGGTTCGATCCCAGCTGCGGGCAATGCGCCTTCGTTGGTTTCGACAGTGGTATCAAGAAAGCCGACTGTCCAGGAAGCAATGGCAAACTACTGGATGTAAATTGCCTTGAGAAACCGCACAACAGCCAGGGGCTGTTAGAGTTGGTTCTGCAACGTCCTGTAAAGGATACGTAACTAACTGTTTTTTTTAAGGGATACTTCATACACATGAGCGACCCCCTTTATTTTATCCTTCAGAACATCGCTAAACTTGACGCAAAAATCTGAAGGCCTGAAAAGCGTGAGTCATGCTGTAACCCCTACAAAAGATACATTTAAAACTATTAATTCAAAAGCAAAGAATGGAATCTTAGGAAGATAAGCTAAGATGATTTTTTGGTAGAATACAATGGATGAACTGTATTTGGTATTAGAATATGATAGCCCCAATCTAATTTTTTTTTTAAATAGTCCAGTGGGTATTGAGAACCGTATGACAAACGCCGTCTTTACTATCCACATTAGGCATTGATTATTTAAGGCTAGGCAGACATTCAATTTAAAGGTGGGGTGTTGGGGTTGGGGGGGGGGGGGTTGCAGGAGATCTGGCCGACGTTCAATACTTTGGGGAAAGTCGAGACGGACATACAACCATACGGTTGCTGATACTGTCGGAATTTAAACCTTGCACTTGCTACTGAATATAGGGACAAGGTGCCTATGGGAAGGTCACAAGTAGTAATCGCTGAAACCTGTAAGGTAAAGCAAATATGTAGAATAAAAAAACTTAAACTTTTGTCAAATAGTCTTAGAATAGTAAAGAGAGCTGACAAAAGGCAAAAATCCACCAGCTCTGTCCAAAGGAAACGTTCACGACTTTTATTAAAGAAGCTCAATAAAACTGACAAATACTGACTGGGATTTCTCAATAAAATCCTGCGGTTGCCCTATGTCCGAGTGCTTTCAGCGATACACTTTGTGTTCGAGACCTTTATTTGGAAAAAAAGATGTTAATAGAGCAGACAGTGTGTTATCTACAGCCACATTCTGAAGCAATCATGTCGTCGTGATGTCTGACCACTATTTCGTCATACTCGAAGTACAACATACTAATGGGCTTTAGTTTGATCGGGACACAACAAGGAGGAGGTGCTGACTGTGGTCTCTTCATGCGCATCAGAGTCTGTAGCAATGCATGATTTGTTGGTTTATACTGAACATCAATCGGAGACGGACACACCCCAGAACAAAAACGAGCGTTAAACTTCTTTGGGTGCATAATCCACTTTCCCCATCCTATAACGTTAAAATCAACTTCGAAGTCGTGCAACTGGCATCTTCCTTTTGATTTAGAAAACCATTTTCTATTTTTACGGTTTCCCTTGTCGTTCTTTTGGATATTGCGCCGCTCTCTTCCAGCAGAGTTGCTAGAAAACGGAATAGTAGATGAATTGGAAACAGTGGTGACAGAGCCTAGAAGAGTTCTTTTTGTCTTTCCCGGAATTGATCCAGTGTCTTCTGCATCCGAGGTATCGTCAACAGAAGCAAAACCCGCGTAGAGACTTGTGAGAAACTGACTGTCGTCCAGATACAGAACGATCAGCGACATTGACTGAAGAGATTTGTCTTTGTCACTGGTCACCGCTTGGCTTTCAAATCTTTTGGACACCTTCACGTGAAAAATAATATTTCCGTGGAAACTGTTGATCCAGGGACTAACTATTTTTGTGACGTCAAAAACATCGTGCTGTGATTGCGGATTTGATCGTCCTCTTAGAACTATCCTTCTGACTATCTTCCCTCTTTTTCTGACGTCGATTCGGAACTTATATCTTCTTGATTTTGTTTGATTGGTAGGATGGCGTAAAAATCTGATTTCCGCACGTCGTAACTTTTCGTGTGATGGAAGGGGAGGTATGTAGAAGTCCACGATAAGCCTGGCCTTTCTTGTATCTTTTGACCCTGAAGAGACAATAACAAGAACAGTTTAATCATTATTATATAATATAACGAAATAATTGCAACTTTTTTTAATCAGGAGCTACACGTGTTACCGTGGACTATCTCCCAGTCCTTAAGAAAGAGAATAGGGGCGTTTGAGCTTAAATGCTGTAGAGAGATTCTCAGAATATCTTGGACAAAGAAGAGGAGAAATATTGACATCTTGAAAGATCTGAACATTAAAGAAGATTGGCTAATAGACAGCATCCTGTTTCAGAAGTTGAAATATGTTGGTCATATAAAGCGCCACGACGGATTGGAAAAAATTAAAGCGGAAGGCATGGTACCAGGAAGGAGAGACAGGGGCCGACCAACACGAAGATGGGCACAGGATATAAATTACTCCTTGAGTGTGAAAGTACACGAGACGGGAGAACTGGCGAGAGATCGAGTTTCTTTCAGGCAGACCGTGATGAGAGCGATGTTCTGCAAAGGACCTGCTACCTGATGATGATGACACTTATTACAGGAGACTCAACCTCAATTTTCTTACCCCCTCCCCCACCCCAGGTTAAAAAAGCTGATGTTAATGCTAGCCTAGCTAACTAATTTGCAACCATTGAAGTTCAAACAAGCACGCTTACATCATTGGTCATACATGCGAAGGACACGAGTGAGGAGTATTGTCTGGATTTTTTCACCGGGTCACGCCAGTGTGTTGGGAAATGAACAGGCGGACAGACTGGCTGGCTCTGCACAACTTGGTGGAATACTGATACATGATAGGGCAGACGTAGTTAGTGCCTTGAGGGAGAGCGTGTACAATTCGGAGGAGCAGATGGATCACCACAGTCTGGTGAGATTGATGCAGTTGGGGGGTGACGAGAGGTTCTGGCAGATGCTCGAGGCTCAGAGGAAAGGCAAGACGGACGTTTAATCAGAATGCTACTGGCACCATTAGTATCGGAACTCTTCGCTGGCTGCTGAAGATGGGGACGGAGCGCTTATGGGAGTGCTGTGATGTCGGTTCTTGAATCAAATCAAATCAAATCAAATCATTGGTCATACTATCTGTAAAATCCCGTTGTTCATGATTCCTGAGATAATGTGAAGGTTGGGATCGTTATCAAGTCATTAAAGAAATGTAGCATTTCAAATGCCACAGATGGAACTGAGGATGAGGCAATGTATGAAGACAATGATTCGTCATCAGACACAGATGAGGACAAGCTAAAGAACTATCATGTGGATGAGAGTTTTGACAGTGATGAGTCTTCTGACTTTTTTTGATGAACCAAACGTGAGGTTAATAGCTTTATGTTATCAAATTTTTTGTCCTCTTCAAATTTCCGGTCCCAAAATCAAGGTACGTCTTATGTGTGGAACCGTCTTATACTTGAGGAAATACAGTAAGTTACACGTCAACGGCACCTCATTCCATTCCTGACAACGACAGCCATGTCAGGGGAAAAGGTGAACTATGGGCGACATGTTATCAGTGCAGAGTGACAGGCCTGGATTATGAAATGCGAGAAGTGGGCTTACTGACTCTGGGAGACGAATGCATACTGTAGTCTATGTCTTAGATCTTTGTCCATGGCCAAGCCCACCCAGGTCGGCTGAAGCCCTTTGTTTTCCTCAGCCATGTTTTTAAATATAAAGATAACAAAGAGAAGGAATTGTGCGTAAGGACACGGAGAAGAGAGAATTATGAGGCTAAGACTAATATAGGAGCCAGATCTTTTACCTTTAGTTCCGTGACTACAAGACATCATCAAACGATGCCATTGAAAGTCGAAGATATCAATAATAATGATAATTCAGTAATAATGGTCTAAACTAATATAATTATATTATATTATTATGTTTTGAACAGCGGTAGCACAGTGGCTTGATACTTGCCTGCCGGCCAGAGGGTGTAAGGTTTAGATCCCTATCAAGGAAAATTTGTCTTCCAAAATAAACCTCGACTACCAGGTCAACTCGAGGTCGCAGTGGTGTAGCGATTAGACGTTCGCCTTCAGATCTGAATGTCGGGAAGTTCGAATCCAAACGGAGCCATACTTTTTTTTTTTTAAATGACTTGGCTTCCAGGTCGACCCAGCCTTTAGTGGGTGATATGTAAATTCATGGGAAGTAAAGGCAGCCGGCGTGATATTGACCACATAGCCCATAGAGTGCCAGTCCCAAAGCAACGCGCGGGGTGTGAATAAATTTACCCCTCGATTCCCCTCCATAGCATATTCGCTCTCTTACTGTGACTGTTTGGTCAGAAAGTACTAGATAATCTAGCTTCCCCCACTGGGAATGGAAGAATGTGTATGTGGCCTGTATATCGCCAGTTTGAAAGTTTGCTTGTGGGAATGGAAGAATGTGTATGTGGCCTGTATATCGCCAGTTTGAAAGTTTGCTTATGGGAATGGAAGAATGTGTATGTGGCCTGTATATCGCCAGTTTGAAAGTTTGCTTGTGGGAATGGAAGAATGTATATGTGGCCTGTATATCGCCAGTTTGAAAGTTTGCTTATGGGAATGGAAGAATGTGTATGTGGCCTGTATATCGCCAGTTTGAAAGTTTGCTTATGGGAATGGAAGAATGTGTATGTGGCCTGTATATCGCCAGTTTGAAAGTTTGCTTATGGGAATGGAAGAATGTGTATGTGGCCTGTATATCGCCAGTTTGAAAGTTTGCTTGTGGGAATGGAAGAATGTATATGTGGCCTGTATATCGCCAGTTTGAAAGTTTGCTTGTGGGAATGGAAGAATGTGTATGTGGCCTGTATATCGCCAGTTTGAAAGTTTGCTTGTGGGAATGGAAGAATGTGTATGTGGCCTGTACATCGCCAGTTTGAAAGTTTGCTTGTGGGAATGGAAGAATGTGTATGTGGCATGTATATCGCCAGTTTGAAAGTTTGCTTGTGGGAATGGAAGAATGTATATGTGGCCTGTACATCGCCAGTTTGAAAGTTTGCTTGTGGGAATGGAAGAATGTGTATGTGGCCTGTATATCGCCAGTTTGAAAGTTTGCTTATGGGAATGGAAGAATGTGTATGTGGCCTGTATATCGCCAGTTTGAAAGTTTGCTTATGGGAATGGAAGAATGTGTATGTGGCCTGTATATCGCCAGTTTGAAAGTTTGCTTATGGGAATGGAAGAATGTGTATGTGGCCTGTATATCGCCAGTTTGAAAGTTTGCTTATGGGAATGGAAGAATGTGTATGGAATCGCCAGAATGTTTGTATGTGGAAGAATGTATATCGGCCTGTTTGAAAGTTTGAAAGTTTGCTTATGGGAATGGAAGAATGTGTATGTGGCCTGTATATCGCCAGTTTGAAAGTTTGCTTATGGGAATGGAAGAATGTGTATGTGGCCTGTATATCGCCAGTTTGAAAGTTTGCTTATGGGAATGGAAGAATGTGTATGTGGCCTGTATATCGCCAGTTTGAAAGTTTGCTTGTGGGAATGGAAGAATGTATATGTGGCCTGTATATCGCCAGTTTGAAAGTTTGCTTGTGGGAATGGAAGAATGTGTATGTGGCCTGTATATCGCCAGTTTGAAAGTTTGCTTATGGGAATGGAAGAATGTGTATGTGGCCTGTATATCGCCAGTTTGAAAGTTTGCTTATGGGAATGGAAGAATGTGTATGTGGCCTGTATATCGCCAGTTTGAAAGTTTGCTTATGGGAATGGAAGAATGTGTATGTGGCCTGTATATCGCCAGTTTGAAAGTTTGCTTATGGGAATGGAAGAATGTGTATGTGGCCTGTATATCGCCAGTTTGAAAGTTTGCTTGTGGGAATGGAAGAATGTATATGTGGCCTGTATATCGCCAGTTTGAAAGTTTGCTTGTGGGAATGGAAGAATGTGTATGTGGCATGTATATCGCCAGTTTGAAAGTTTGCTTGTGGGAATGGAAGAATGTATATGTGGCCTGTATATCGCCAGTTTGAAAGTTTGCTTGTGGGAATGGAAGAATGTGTATGTGGCCTGTATATCGCCAGTTTGAAAGTTTGCTTGTGGGAATGGAAGAATGTGTATGTGGCCTGTATATCGCCAGTTTGAAAGTTTGCTTGTGGGAATAGAAGAATGTGTATGTGGCATGTATATCGCCAGTTTGAAAGTTTGCTTGTGGGAATGGAAGAATGTGTATGTGGCCTGTATATCGCCAGTTTGAAAGTTTGCTTGTGGGAATGGAAGAATGTGTATGTGGCCTGTATATCGCCAGTTTGAAAGTTTGCTTGTGGGAATGGAAGAATGTGTATGTGGCCTGTACATCGCCAGTTTGAAAGTTTGCTTGTGGGAATGGAAGAATGTATATGTGGCCTGTACATCGCGAGTTTGAAAGTTTGCTTGTGGGAATGGAAGAATGTATATGTGGCCTGTATATCGCCAGTTTGAAAGTTTGCTTGTGGGAATGGAAGAATGTGTATGTGGCCTGTATATCGCCAGTTTGAAAGTTTGCTTGTGGGAATGGAAGAATGTGTATGTGGCCTGTACATCGCCAGTTTGAAAGTTTGCTTGTGGGAATGGAAGAATGTGTATGTGGCATGTATATCGCCAGTTTGAAAGTTTGCTTTGGGAATGGAAGAATGTATATGTGGCCAGTTTTGAAAGTTTGGAATGGAAGAATGTGTATGTGGCCTGTATATCGCCAGTTTGAAAGTTTGCTTATGGGAATGGAAGAATGTGTATGTGGCCTGTATATCGCCAGTTTGAAAGTTTGCTTATGGGAATGGAAGAATGTGTATGTGGCCTGTATATCGCCAGTTTGAAAGTTTGCTTATGGGAATGGAAGAATGTGTATGTGGCCTGTATATCGCCAGTTTGAAAGTTTGCTTATGGGAATGGAAGAATGTGTATGTGGCCTGTATATCGCCAGTTTGAAAGTTTGCTTATGGGAATGGAAGAATGTGTATGTGGCCTGTATATCGCCAGTTTGAAAGTTTGCTTATGGGAATGGAAGAATGTGTATGTGGCCTGTATATCGCCAGTTTGAAAGTTTGCTTATGGGAATGGAAGAAT